TAGCTCAGGAACAGACTTCTTCCCAGTGCTTAAGCTATCCTAGGTATTTAGCAGGAGCAGACTGAGGAAAGGCTGCTGGTGTAGTCTTAGGAACTTGGCTACGATATTTTTCAGGTAGTGTGGAGTTGCAAATGAGAATAAAGCAAGGGAAGTATTAGGGGAGGTATGAATACATGGGTTGGCCTCACTGACCCAGACTTTGGGGTCTTTGAATGTGTATCTGTTGTGTGGGTGTCTTGGAGACAAGATAGTGAACTGGAAGGAGGATTTGCTCAGGAGTCAGAGGTGCCCCCCCCCCCCCACTGCATTCAGATCCCACCTCTGATGCTTATTTACCTGTGTGATCTTAGGAAAGTAACTTCCACCTCAGTTTCCTCATTTGTAAAATGAGAGGGTTGAGACAGAAGGCCCCTGAGGTCCCTGCCAGCTCCTAATCTGTGATGTTATGAAATGTTTGGTTTCCATTTTGTTGAAAGAGTACAGAAGGAGATAGTGGAGGGTATGCTCTTCACAAATAGGTGTCCTACTTAGGAGAAAATTGTCCAATTGGATTTGGCAATCTAACCCGTTTTTTAGGATGAAGCTTGTCATTTTGGCTGATGGATTTCAGCTGGATATGAGTCCCAGCTTCTTATATGCCTTTGGAAACCAGGCTCAGTAATCAAAACAGTAACCAGGCGGGAACTACTGCAGTGCTAGCTGGCAGAAGAATAATGGTAGGTGGTCTGATGTTGATGTGCTTTTATGAAAAAGACCCAGATTATAATTTTCTGACTTTCCAAGGAGAATAGAAGAAATATGCGGTATTATTTTTAAATGAGCACATAGAGAGCTGTGTGTTAAAACATCAGGCATATGACATCTACTTTGCATGTTTGAGGAAATGTTCTGTCAGTCTAATGAAGGATTTGATAGGGAGCTGGGCATTTTTGCACTAATAGGTTTGCTTAGCCATTTGGTATCATTTCTGTCTACCTCCTGTATTCCAGTCTGAACAAGTTTTGGTGCTAGAAACATCAGTGGGATTGGGAGGGGAGATGGGAACTTCAAAACTTTCTAAAAATACATCTCAGCTTCTTGTCAATGATTTATACTGGGCCTGACTTGTGAAGTTAAGGCCAGACTCTGCCCCTGTCTAAAGGCCAGGCCTATTAAATTTTTAAACGAGTTTTATTGTTGTCTTTTACTTTTACATCACAGTCATTTCCAGTTATACACTTGAGCAAGGAAGTGGCATGGTTAGACCTTTGCTTTAGGTTATCAACTAAACTTGGCAGCTTGTGGAGAGTGGACTGATGAAGACCCCAGTGGCTCTCTGGGACTCAGTTCTTTTCATTATAGAATTAGCAGGTTGGTTTAGATCAGGGCTTCTTAAACTTCTTTCCCTTGCGACCCCTTTTTGCTTAAGAAATTTTTATGAGACACTGGGTACATAGGTATATAAAATAGGTATATGGGGCAGCTAGGAGGTGCAGTGGATAGAGCACCGGCCCTGGATTTAGGGGGACCTGAGTTCAAATCTGGCCTCAGACACATAACACTTACTAGCAGTGTGACCCCAGGCAAGTCACTTAACCCCATTGCCTAGCCCAAAAAATAAATAAATAAAATAAAATAAAGTAGGTATACAGAAACCTTTTACTGTTGCCAAATTTTTCGCTACCCCCACGTTCAGTTACACGACCCCATAGCTTAAGAAGTGCTGGTTTAGATGACCTTTTAAGGTCCCTTCCAGCTCTAAATCAGTGATCCTATAATTTGAAGCATCAGTAACATATTCCTTAAAAACACTTGGGGCTATTTTATTTAATCATTCATTGTTTCATTCATTGAACAAACTTCTGTTGTATGCTCAGCCCTGTATTAGGCATTGGGAGCATATACAAAAACATTGTTAAGACTCAGTTCCTATTATCATAGATCTTACCATCCATTAGGGAAACAAGCCACTAACACAATTATAAGATATAATACTACAGGATAAGTTTACTTATTAAATACATTTTGTTTTGACATAGTAGACACTTCCCAAATCAAGCTGCCACAAAATACATTGAGAATACCACTTATTAGGCTGTTCTATTAATACAAGCTTATTGCAGGAAGGGCCTGTGATGAGGCAGCTAGGTGGTGCAGTGGATAGATCACCTGGAGTCAGGAGGACCTGAGTTCAAAATCCAGCCTCAGACACTTGACACTTACTAGCTGTGTGACCCTGGGAAAGTTACTTAACCCCAATGCCTAGCGCCCTCCCCCCCCCAAAAAAAAAGAAGAAGAAGGATCTGTGTTGGAATGGTAGCAAGGGGAGCAGGAAGGATGTGATAGATATTACAAATAGAGACGCAACAGGACTTGCCTTGTTTTACTTCTTTTTAACTTGGATCTGGTAAATGATTGAGAGTCAGAGATGTCAAGATGTCACCTATGAATGATGGGAGGTATCACCTGCATGGTGGAATCATCAGCAGAAATAAGGAGGTTAGAAGGAGAAGCAGCTTTAGGGAGAAAAATCAGAAGTTACTTGGGTTTGAGTTTCTGTGGCACACTCAGGTAGTGTTGTCCATTGTCCAAAAGGAAATTGGAAGTGTGAGTCTATAACTGGGAGTAGAGATCAGAGTTGGGGATAAATTTGGGAGTTAACTATGTAGACAGAACAACAAATGAAGTCTTGAGAATGACTGTGATTTCCAAAAGAGAAAATTTATAGAGAAACTAATAGAAGACCAAGAAAAAGCCTTGGAAGGGGGTGGGGGGGAACCAGTATTTAGGGATCAAAAAGGTAAGAGAAGCCATCTCAGGGCCCAAAAATGAGCAGTTGGGATCATCAGAAAAGTTCTTGTGCCCTAAGCTTGCATTAAACAATGGAAGTATACTGTCTGGAGTGAGAGATTATGATAGATCCAATGTCAGACTATATTCAGTTCCATTCAGTAAGCATTAAATATATATTATGTAAAGCACTGTGCCAGGTTGGGGTGTACAAACACAAAAACACAAGTTTGTTCTTTCAAGGAGCTTACATGGGGAGGACACACAAGCTTACAAGTAAATACAAAGGCTAGATAAAGTAAAACAAAATAATTCCAAGAGAAAATGAGGAAGGGGCAGTTAGGTGGCTCAGTGAATAGAGCACTGGTCCTGAAGTCAGGAGGACCTGAGTTCAAATCCAGCCTCATACCGAACACTTGTCCCTTACTAGCTGTGTGACCCTGGGCAAGTCACTTAACCCCAATTGCCTAAAAACTAAAAAAAAAAAAAAAGAAAGAAAGAAAAAAGAAAAGGAGGAGTAGTAATGGAGGAGGCTTGGTGGGAGAGAGGAGGAAATGGAAGGAAGCTATGAATTCTGGTGTGGAGGGGAGGAGAGAGTGCATTTCAGACTTCAGAGAACAGTTGTGCAAAACCTAAGGGGTAGTAGGAGATAGAATGGAAGGAATAGTACCAGAAATAGTTAGAAGCCTAGTTTCACTGGAATGAAAATAATGGGAAACGATTGGAAAGGTAGGTAGGAGGTTTTAAATGCCAGGTTAACGATTGTGAATTTTATCCTAGAAGTAGTTGGGAGCCATTGAACATCTTTGAGCAGAGGTAGTGATGTGTAATTCGAGAATATCAATATGGCAGCTATGTGGAGGATGGATTGGAAAGTAAAAATATGTGTGATTTAGGAGACTACTGCAATAGTCCTCATAACAGATGATGAGGGCCTGAACTAAGTTAGAGGCTATGTGAATAGGGAGAACTTAACTGAAGCCTCATTTCCCCTATCTATAAATGGGGATAATAATAGTAAACTTTACCAGATCTCTTTCCTCGGAAGTCAAAAGCATTATTCAGAGCACTGATTTACATTTGGTTTCAAAATTTGAACAACTTTCCCTAGTGAAGTGCTCTTTGTAAACCTTAATGCCCTCTAGAAATGTAACTTGTTATATCACCAGAGCATAGCAAACACTTCAGAAATGTGGCTGTTTTGTAAGTTTAGGCTTTCCTAGGGCTCATCTTTGGTTCGAATTTGATTTTTTTTTTTTTCATGTGGTTGGAGTGTTATGTTGCTTACAAGTGGGAAGTTTGAAAGCCCCAAGAAAGAACCAGTTTATTTACCCCTTGTCTACAAAAAGGAGTGAAGTGTAAGGAAGCATTTATATTTGTCTTAACGGAATCAAGAAGTTTTGGTTTTTTGTTTTTTTAATTGAATGTGGTCTGACTTTCAGGTAGGTTGTTTTGTTTTGTTTTGTTTTTGTTTTTGTTTTTGTTTTTTTAAAGTTGTAAACTTGTTCCAGGGCATTATATGCTGTGGCTAACTATTAAATGAATCACAATTTCATTTATATTGTTTCCCTCTTCTCCACTCAAATCACCAAAACTCATTAAATGTTGTCTAGAATATTATGTAAAAGTCTCCTAACAGGCTTCTCTCCCTCCACTCTTGTTTTCCCTAATCTGTCTTTTACGTAGGTACTTAACATAGCCTTCCTAGTTCAGAGATCTGACCATATCTATCTGCTTCTTTCACCTGTTGAAATCCTTGTCTTCCTTGAAGGACCAACTCAACAGCCCCTCTTCCATGAAGCCTTTCTTGACTCCCCCAACTCTACCCCTGCCCGTTTCTGTCCCCTGCTAAAATTCATCTTTCTTCAGACTTTCTTAGACCATTTGTTTCTGTTATTTTTCCATTCTAACTTGTATCCTATTTACTTGTGTGTATGTCTTATCTTTCCTTCTGCCTACTTCTCCATCCTTCTTTATTATACTATAAGCTCCTTGAAATATTAATTTTTTTCAACTTTGTAGCCTGATGACTTGGTACGTTCCCTGGCACACAGTACATGCTTAATTAATGTTTGTTTGTTTTTTAAATTGAATTGAATTGAACCAAGACTGGTTGAGAACAGATGGAACTGGGGTAGGGCCTTGACTTTGAAATTTTATGAATGGTTCCTTTTCTCTTTTATTGTATTCATCACAACATATTAAATGATTTACCGTTTTTTCCCCCTCAGTCTAAAGGAATTTCTGCCCAAAGAATACATCAAACAAAGAGGAGCTGAAAAGAGAATATTTCAGGTACTGAAAATGTAGTTATCTTAATATTCTACTCTAAATACATTTCTCTATTTTTCTTATTTGAGAGGATTTTGTCATCATCCTGACTTTGTACTCTATGCGTCCCCTCCACTTATGTCATAAATTACCATTAACTGAAGAGTAAAGAAGCTAATTTAAGTCATTAATTATCATTCACTCAAGAGAAAAGAAACTAATTTATGTCATTAATTATCAATAACTCAAAGGTAAAGAAGCTGTCAGTTCTTCTTTAGGTATACTGTATATATTTTCATAATCTGTAGATTTTACTTGAAGGTTCCTCAGTCTCAGACAAATATACTCATACCTAATTTTCAGACAGCTTCTCAGTAGCAGCCAACAGATACTATGCAGTTACAATGCAGCAGAAGATGTTTTCTCTGTCACATCTTCATACTGATTTGCTTTTGGCCGACACCCTTATTCAGGAGCCATTATTTTGGAGAATGACCGTGACATAGTTTATAGGGAGCCAGTTGAAGCCAGAAAGACCTGTGTTAAACCCTGCGTCTGACACATAATGGCTGCGTGACCCTCAGCAAGTCACTTATCCTCTGTACATAGTAGTCAGCTGAACTGAGTCTCTAAGTTGCAGAGAAGATGCTAGCCTATATTAATGGAGGTGTATTCTGACCTGAGTGTTCCCTGTATCCGTCAGTGATGTCACAGGTCAGTTTCCTATCACTAGCCCCTATTCTAGAGGTGTATTTTAAAAGTCAAAGTTTAATTCATTTCCTAGGTTACCACAAATGAATCTCTTCAAAGGGGACTGTTGGGAGCTTAAGAATTATCTTTGCTTTGAAATGTTCATTCCAAGACTCCTATCTAGACATCATTTTTAGTCTTGAATTCCAAGCATGTAAAATGTCAGGAAACATACCATTTTCACACTTCCTGTTAGTGTCAGGTTTCTTAAAAATATAACTCCATGATCAATGCCAACCATTTTTATTTCAGTAGTTCTTGTACCTTAAGGCCTGGCATGGTGGGTGCATGCCTGTAGACCCACCTGCTGGGGAGGCTGAGGCCAGTGGATCACTTGAGTTGAGGAGTTCTAAGCTTCAGTAAGGCTGAAGCCAGTTGGGTGTCCATATTAAGTATGGCACCAGTAATGAGCCCCCAGGAGCAGAGAACACCATGCTGTCTGAGGAGGGGCAAACTGTCCCAGTGGGAAATTCAGACCAGGGTAAAACTTCCATGCAGATCAATATTGCTATCAGGTCTGTGAGGGGCTGAAGTATTTCCAGTCTGGGTGAGGTGAGGAGACCTGGGATCAAAAAGAAGATAAACATGAGAAAGGTAGAAGGGAGAGTGGGAGGGCACCCTTCAGTAGTACATCAAGATGGTGGTCGCCCTTTTATTTCCACCTCCCAATGAAGGATGTGAGGAGGAGAGAGGATATATAGGGAAGAAAAGAAAAGCATAAAAAGAGGTTCAATTATGCATTTAAAACTATATGGAAGAAAAAAGAAGGAAGACAAGAAAGAATCATGGACAAGCAAGACAGATTTGAAAGCTGCAGGTTGAATTTGTTACATATTTTAAAAGAAAAGCAAAGTGTTCATAACAGATCTTCAATTTCACATATAATCCTCTTTTTCTGTTCTATTATCATAAAATGTACATTTTTTATTTGATGTTTTCTTAGTTTTGAATTAAAAAAACAACTAAAAAATAGAAAGAAATGGTAGACCTTGACATTCCTAAGTGATCCGCTCTCGTCTGTAGAAACATCCACGTCCTCTTTCCTCGTAGCTCCTCCGTTTTCTTGATGAAATTGCCCTGAATTGGATCTCACGTATACGTTTTCCTAATGTGCCATAGAGATTGCTCAAATGATTACCTAATGGTAGAATGCAGTAACTTTCCCCCGGGATCTTGTACTCTTGCAGGAGCACAAGAACTGTGGTGAGATGTCAGAAATAGAAGCCAAGGTGAAATACGTAAAACTCGCACGTTCTCTCCGGACGTACGGTGTCTCCTTTTTCCTCGTGAAGGTGAGCTGTGTGTTTGTCAGGCTGTTCTGTTCTGCCCACGCTTGTCTCTTGTGTTCTTTTGAAATGTGCGCTGACAGTTGTACATTTTACTCATCTCATGGGCTGACCAGAAGTCTTCAAATATGTGCGAGGCGGTGAGATATATTTGAAAAAGAGTACTGTACAAGTCAGAAGCTTTGGGTTTGATTTTTAGCAATGAGATCTCTTCATCTGATCTCATGAGCGTTGTTTGAGACTGTGAACTCATCAGAGTCAATTAACATCTGTTTTAATCTGTGACTCACCTAGCACGGATAGCAGAAGCAGAGTGTGGTGGTGTGGAACCACTGGTGGATATGGAACTTGCTGGTCTGGCTCCAAATCCCAGGGGTTACTTAATAATTTTGTGACTTAGCAATTGTCCCTTAACCTCTACGGATCTCAGTTTTTCCATTTGTAAACTGTGAGGCTAAACTTGATATCTGGAGTCTCTTCTAGCTCGAAATCCTATGAATAATTTTATGTAGGTTGTTTTGGTTTATTTTGTTTTTAACCCTTTTTAATGGATATGATTGTTTTGTTTTGTTTTTAACCATATTACCTTACCCTAAAGAATCTATTCCCCTAAGACAGTTAAGCAAAACCTACTAAGTATCATGATTGAAGCTGGTAAGTATATGTCACTTTCTAGGTTTTTTGTTTTTTTTTTTGTAGTGTACAAATTGTTTATAGGATGTTGAGTCAGTAAGCTTTCTAAATTAAGTGCCTGCTGTGTACCAAGCACTGTCGAAAAGGATGGAGATAGAATGAAAAGCCAAAGGAAAAAAAGGAAGAAGGGGGTTGCTGCTGTCAGGGAGCTCACAGGCTAGGGGCGCACACTTTCAATTCAGTTTGATAGCATGGTACCCGAGAGGCAGTGCTGGTGTTGTGAATCTGGGGACTTCACCTTCGAGCCAGGAAACCCTGGCAAGTCACTGCATGAACTTGGACCATCGTCATGATGGTTTTCCACACTCTCATCTTCTGATTCTGTTAGCATGAAAAAGAGATGTGAGGATCATGTGAAACAGCCGTGGCATAGGGGGAAGAGCTAAAGAAGGGAAGAAGCATTTATGTATGTGCTAAACACTATGTGCTAAACACTTTACAGTTATTATCTTGTTTGATCCTCACAACAACTCTGCAAGGTAGGTTCTAATATTATACCCATTTTAAAATTGAGGAAACTGAGGCAAGCAGAGGTTAAGTGACTTGCCCAGGGTCACACAGCTAGTAAATATCTGAGGCTTGATATAAACTCAAGTCTTCCCGACTCCACACCCAGTGTTCTATCCTATGCGCCATCTACCTGCTTCAGGAAAGTAGAAAGAGTGCATAGTGAATAGAGAGCAGGCCCCTGAACAGAAGAAGATCTGAGTTCAGGTTCCAATTCTGACACATCCTGGTTTTGTGACTGGTTCTAAGACTCTCAGTCCTCTAGGCCAGAGGTGTTGAACTCTCTTGCTGCAAGTCCCTGCCTAAACCAAATTAAAATATAATTGGAAAATGTTTAAAAAAAAATAAAAATACAATACAATATAGGTAATGTTACTCTGTGGCTTTCTAAGTCAGTATGCAGACCACAGCTCCACAACTGCTCTGAGCAGCACTCCAAGTCCCAGGTTGCAGAGATCTCACCTTCTTTGGAAGAGGGCTTGTCCTCACAGAAGTAGGTCTTTTTCCTGTCCCCCAGGATGGTACTGCTGCATTCTGTTTCAGTTGATCCTGATTCAGTTGATCAGAATGATCCATTATCATGCTATCTACATTCCCCTTTCATTCTATCCATGTATAGAATCTCTGCATTTCAAGGCTCTCCTCACTAATTCATTTCAAAATGATTTCTACTTAGTCTTCTTGCACATTAGATTTCTTCCTTTTCTCCTCCATCTTACTCCTGCCCAGGGAAATGCATCCCAAAAGCCTTAGTGTAATTTTAAATTCCTAAAGCTCTGTTGTTCTACCCATGTAGAAAGCACACAGTTGGCATTATACCCCAGGATTCAGTTTCCTACCAACAGAATCAAAACCAGCTGACCAGAAACTGGTCTTCCAAGAACAGAGAAAGATGCTGCAAACAGTTTTGCCTACCCACAACTAAAGCATCCCACAGGAGTGAAGCAACCATCGGGGGTATTGGGGACCACAATTGTACTTCTCCTCAATCTACTTCCCCTTTGGAAAATCTATGTAATTATGTGAGGGGCAATTCTGATGTATTGAAGGTAGTTACATTTTTTTGTGGTGATGGAAGTGTTTTTAGTTACTTTAATAGTCATTGTTATTATAATTGCTCACATTTATAGAGTACTATAAGATTTGCAAAGTGCTTTTGCATTTATTATCTCTCATAATCTTCACAACAAACCTTTATGTACTATTACTATCTTTGTTTTATAAATGAATTAACTGAGACTGTGATGATTTGCTCAGGGTCACAAAGGTAGTAAGTTTTTGAGGCAAAATTCAAACTCAGTTCTTTTTCACTCCATTTCTCATCTCTACTACGCCACACCACCTTTCACACAGTTCGATATTCAACTGAACAACATTTGGATACCTTGCCAAAATAAAAAAAAACTTTTATCATGCAACTAATTTTTCAATGAAAAAAATTGTACTTTGTGTATTTATTTGGATTTTTCGGTTATCAGCACCCACCATCTCACTCACCCCCATTATCATCAAATTGAAGAGAGAAAACTTTCTGGGTAATAAGTATTGTAATAATTGTTGTTTTTCTGGACCACAAGGGAACTGTTTGGGCCAACCAAAATCACATGACTCTGTAGATCGCTGAGAGATCAATAGACATGAAATTAAAAAAAAATTAATATCCTGTATAGTTAGCTATATCAATGAAGAGAAACTCATAGGAGCAAAGTTTGGGACTTCTGTGGCTTTCAAATATACGATAAATTTTTTGTGCACAAATAATTTTTTATAACAAATCATTTTACCTAAGGTAATGCTCATATCAATAAAAAATACTTTAGAATCATTAGTTGTTGTGGCAAAATGATAAGAAATAGATTCAGAATAACATATGTTGTTGTTATTGAGTCATTTTTCAGTCATGTCCAACTCTTCGTGACCCTATTTGGGGTTTCCTTGGCAGATATTAGACTGGTTTGTCATTTCCTTTCTTCTCCAGCTCATTTTACAAAGGAGGAAACTGAAGCAAACAGCATTAAGTTACTTGCCCAGGGTCACTCAGCTAGTGTCTAAGGCCAGATTCGAACTCATGAAGATGAGTCTTCCTGACTGTACAGACCCAGCACTTTATCTACTGCATCACCCAGCTGTCCCAGAGTAATATATATCTGGTAATAAATGGAGTATCAGGGCATCACTGATACTGAATTGGAAAGGACCTTTGAGGTCATTAAACCAACCCAGTCATTTTATAGATGAGGACACTGGGCCGAAGAAAGTTAAGTGTAACTTGCCTAAGGTCACCTAGATAGTGACCATCAGAGGAAAGTTTTAACTTAGGTCTTTCCAGAAAAGAAACTCAATCAGTAGTCTAAACTTTAAAAATTAGTACAGTCAGATAATGTCTCAAATAGTGATTAGAAAACATAGAAAAGAATAGTTATTACTTTGACCACTGTCTCTTGAGTCAGTGATAGAACTAGGGGAAAGGGGGAGTGGGAAGTGAAGGTTTTCAGTTGGAACAACCGAAGTGTATTGAAGGTTTGCTCAAGCCAGTAAAATGCTTTTGAGAGAGCTTTTAAGAAAAGATAAGGAACCCAAGCCTCTTGGATTTCTTTTCTTCCAGTCATGGAGATGAAAGAGAAGGATCTATCAATGATATTTATATATGCTTTTATTTGACTTTAATCATTGGAATTTCATTAATTCTACTTTTTTTCTTTTGTAAAATGTTAATGGAATACTTAAAGCTTTAATCTTTTATTAAATGATTCCTTTTTCTGTGCTTTTTCTGTTCTTTTTAAATGAGCTGAGAGAGCCAGAATTCTAAACTTGTAAGTAATGGTCCTTCCAAGTCCTAAATTCTGCAACTTAATTTAGGTATTAAATTATGAAAGGGAGATACTGGGGTGCTTTAGCAAGTAAAGAGAAAAACCAGTGAGTGGTTTCCAAATAATTTAACTTACCAATATTTATCTTCATATATTAAAAACTATAAATTTTAAAAATCTGAAATTTTAATCAGCTGAAACATTTAAATGTTTATGTTGTGTTCATTAATCATATTACATAGAATTGAAAATTCGTGGGGGGTTGTCTGAAAGGACTAGTTGGACTGTTTTATTGAAGTTACTCATGTTTTGTTTTTGCATAATCATAAGTATTTCTTGCCTTCGTGGTGTTACCATCTGTTTTAAATGTCAAATATAATAAAATCTGGCAGTGTTCTATATCAAATTAATGTTTTTTGTGTCGTTTTGCAAGGCATACCTATTGAGTCTTACTTCATAGGGAGAAGTGTTAGATGTCCCTTCCTATCTGGTTTTGTCACTCTGAGCCACATATTATTTATTTTAGATGTATGGGTAGGAATTCGAGTTGGCACTCTCCTCCCTTATTCTGGCTTTTTATCCACTGGCTCTGATCAAGATGAAGAAATAGGGCCTTTTGCCTTTCATTCACTTGTGGCAGTGTTAAAAACAAAATTCAAAAATAGAGTGAGTTGACAGGCCACTTAAATAGAACTTTTCATTTGTAAACCTTTTTATTTATAAAGGTAATAGGCCTGGCTTTTCATTTCATATGCAGAAGCTCTTAACCTGAGTTCTAGGCCCACAAAGGGTCTGTGGATAGATTTCTAAGTGTCTGTCAACTCACATGGGAAAAATTCCATCTCTATTTCAATATAATTGATTTCCTTTATAACCCAGTTGCACCTCTGCAGATTCTCAGGATTGTTGCATTTCAGAACTAGGAGAGTCCTGAAGAGACTATTTTATCCGGCCTCCTCATTTTCCAGGTGAAGAATTTCAAGCCCAGAGAGGAAG